AAATATCACTCTAAACTTTTTAATAAATCAATTTCAAGTCCACCTCTATCTATATATATAAAAGCCACGGACCTTTTTTTTCTTCTTAATTGTTTTCCAATATTTCTGTGTACTTATATTTATCTATGTCACATAAAGCGACAAGTTGAGTACATTTCAAGAGAGCGTCCGCTACGCTTACGAGGCATCCAATTTCCTCTAAAAAAAGAGAGAAAAAAAAAAAAAAATTTATAGAAACACCTTTGGAATACTGCAACTATAAAGTGTCCCTTATCAACCCTCTGTATTCCCGGGATTATCTAACTGTCACCCCTATCATTCGAGGCTATATAGTAGGAAGTCTAACTTTTCATGTATATATGTATAACGATTGGAAAAAAAGGAATATTGAAAATTTAAATATAGAGAAAAGAAAAGAAGATACTGCTTATCAATATATATATATATTTCGAAGAGGGAAAGGGCTCGATTAAAATTGACCGAAGCACGTACAACGAAGCGAGAGAAACGTGATAACGGTAGACTTTTTCCAATAACGAATCCTTGTTAGTGCGCGATTTCTCCCCATTTTTAAACTTCTTCATCGTCGCATATCCATTTTTCACACACTCATTCATTTTTTTTTTTTTTTTTTTTTTTTTTTGGGTTCTTACCCGCATTCGCGCTTTTTTTTAATTAGCGACATTCAGTTCTGAGCTGTCAATGTGTGTGATTGGGTAAAAATTTCAATAAGATCAATATTAGATATTTGAAAAAGAAAACTTAAAAAGTCAGTCTTTTTTTCTTCACAACAAAACCCAACCAAAAATTTCAGTATTATACCAGAGTTAACTACTGGCGCAGTACTGGTTCAGTATTGGCTGCCGAGGCTGGGCAGTCTGTACTGAACCAGTACTGGTATTTTTATTCTAACAGTACTGTTGCAGTACCACCCTCTCAGTACTGGCAAACCAGTACTAAGCCAATATTGAGCCAGTACTGGCTCAAATAGATTTTCTTTTTGATTAATACTAGTTTACAAAAAGTTCTAGAGTGAACCTGATGAATCTTTTTGTTTAAATATTTTGTTTATAAAAATTTTTTCACTTTGATTTTATTTTTGAAAATTAAAAGGTATATTTTATTTTGCTTTTTTGTGGGTAAAATTATTTAAACAAAAAGTTTTTTTGAGACTAATTCCAAAACATTTTGCAAGTTTTTTTTATTGTTTTAAGATATACAATAAACCAAAAAAAATTTTAAACGATCAAACTAAAAATAAATAAAATTGTTTAGGTATAAAAAATTTAATAATTTTTAAAATAAAAATTTTAAAAAACTTTCTTGACAACACTTGTTAAAAATTAAAAACCTACTTTTATTTTCTTAAAAAGTTTTTGAAAAATTTATTTTGATGCAAATAATTAAAGTGAATAATGAAATAATTAAATAGCTAATATTGTATAATTATATATACATTATAATTATTTTATAAACATTTTTATTTTTACTGAAAAATATATATTATAAAAACTTTGGTTTTATAATAAACATATTTTTATATTTATTTTTTGATTTTTTAAAATAATAATTTGCAATATATATTATACTTAATAAAGAATAAAAATTCTTTGTGTTTTCGATTTTATATATAATAAAATATTAATTAGTTAGTTGACTAATTTAATTAATATTTAATTTGTATTGGGTTACTAAAAATTTCACACACTTTTTCCTAAAAAAAAAAAGTATTACCTGGAGCAGAGATTTCACTATTGCAGTGAAACTTATCTCTGTTACAGTTAAAGTTTTCTTTTCGTATACAATAAATTACAAAACTGCCAGTATTCAGCCAGTACTGAAGCAGTAGTGGTTACCAGTACTGGTGCCAACTCTGGCAGCCAATACTGGTAAAATGTTATCATCCCAAAGTTACGCCAACTCTGGCGCCAATACTGGGTGCCAGTACTGCGCCAATACTTGTCATTACTGCGCCAGTACTGCGCCATTCGTAAATTTTTGATTGGGAAATGAAGAATTCATTTTTTATTTTAATAAATCAGAAAAATATAAATAACACTGCAAAAACTATAGCCGTCTTAAAAATGAAAAAAAAAACGTCTTGTTTTAACTTATCAGACACATTTGCGTGTCTTAGACGCGAAAAACGTCTTAAAACAAGACGTTTTTTTGCACTTTTAAGACGGCCAGTTTTTACAGTGAATATTTCTATATAATCAAGGGAATTTTTCTTAAAAATTTTATCTTAAAAATTTTAGCATTATTACCGTCATATGGGTTTCTGACAATAACGTTCGTTGGTTCGTTACTCGCTAGAATTTCTGTGACCCCTCGTAACCTGTCAGGATAGTAACATACTCGTAAATATTCTACTTCTATACATATGTGTGTATATATACATGTATATAGAAACTACAAACAACTGTAGAAGACATTTGAAGATTAGTAATGTACGTATGTGATATAACTATGTAACCCTGTTGGTAATAAAATGCTGAATCAATTCTTAATATATAGAAATTTAATAAAAAATTTAACTTTTCTTTTTTATATTAATTTCTTTCAATTATTAAATACTCTCTAAATCTGAATTAGTAGTTTTCTACTAATAAAAGAATGCGTATTCGTTTACCAATTTAATTAGTAACAGTTTTAACTAATTTTTAGTAAAAAAAAAACACAGAAAATTAAAAGGCATTAAAATAAGCTGCAACGCTTTTTATTTTAATCCAATTTTGCTTATTTTAATCCATTTTGGTATTAAAATAACCGGAATTGGATTAAAATAAGAAGCGTTGCAGCTTATTTTAATGCCTTTTAATTTTCTGTGAAACTACTAATTGCTATAGTAGAAAACTACTAATTCATGGAGTAAGTCATATTTTTTACTATTTCAAATTAGTAAGCCGATTTACTCCATGAATTAGTAGTTTTCTACTAGCAATTAGTAGTTCTTTACTAAAAATTAGTTAAAACTGTTACTAATTCAATATTGGTAAATAATACGCACACTTTCATTAGTAGAAAACTACTAATTCAGATTTAGAGAGTAGTTGTGCCTTCAAGAATAATTGCAAAAAAATAATCTCTTAAAAAATAAATTTATAAATAAATAATCAAGTAATTATTTGAATTATACACCAAGAGAAAAAATTTCTTTGATTTAAAGAAAACCAATTTTTTTTTTTTACTTATTCTTTCATTCAAAATAAAATTTTCTTTATGAAACAAAAACTTTTTTTTCCTCTTTGAAACGAAGATAATTTTTTTGTTTTAATCAATGATAATTTGTTTAGAAATAATTTTTCCTTGAAACAAAAGCTTTTTTTTCCTCTTTGAAACGAAGATAATTTTTTTGTTTTAATCAAAGATAATTTTACAGAAAATTAAAAGGCATTAAAATAAGCTGCAACGCTTATTATTTTAATCCAATTTTGCTTATTTTAATACCAAATTGGATTAAAATAAGCAAAATTGGATTAAAATAATAAGCGTTGCAACTTATTTTAATGCCTTTTAATTTTCTGTGTTGTTTAAAAATAAATTTTCTTTGAATCAAAGAAAAATTTGTCAAAGAAATTGATTTTTTTTTTGAATCAAATAAATTGAGAAATTTTTCTTGGTATATATATATATATATATATATATATATATATATATATATATATATATATATATATATAGGAAACGAGTGTTTTGAAGTGATTTTCTTTCCTTTCGAGTGCACTTTAGAACGTGCATTTTGTGTTGCGCGTGAGAATAAAAGAAAAAAAAATCTCGCAAGAGAGGAAGTTTGGTGAAGAGCTAAATTACGAAGATCTTTCCAAATATTCGTACACGCAAAGTGGAAATGGCAATTGTTACGATCTTCTTACAAGCCCAGGTGTAACAATTTAAAGTTAATGGCTTATTTTAGAAAATAGGTTTTCTTTTAGTGGAAACAATTACTATTTTCCAAAAGAAGCATATGCTATTATAAAAAAAAAAAACTCTAAATACTGCAATTTGCAATATCAATTCTATATAATATCCCCACAGCGCCAAAACTTTCCTAAAGATTTATTTGATATGTTCGGAGAATATTTAATTGCAATGTTTAATGAAAATTGTGTAAGAGATTTAAATGTCCCACTTGAATAAATGTTTCACAGAAAATTAAAATGCATTAAAATAAGCTTATTATTTTAATCCAATTTTGCTTTTTTTAATCAATTTTGGTATTAAAATAAGCAAAATTGGATTAAAATAATAAGCGTTGCAGCTTATTTTAATGCCTTTTTAATTTTCTGTGCTACTCTCTAAATCTGAATTAGTGACTCACTTTTTGCTTCTGAATTAGTTAAATTTTACTATAATTGTTAGTAAAATTTTACTAATTCAGAAGCAAATAGTGAATCATTAATTCAAATTAGTAAACATTTTTACTAATTCAGATTTAGAGAGTAAACATTTATTCAAGTGGGACATTTAAATCTTTACACAATTTTCACTAAACATTGCAATTAAATATTCCGAACATTTCAAATAAATCTTTAGTTTCGATGCTGTGCAGATAATATTATATATACGCTACATTAGAGGAGTCTAATACTATAAAACTTATATCCTAATTATAACATAATGCAAATTCTTAACCTATATGTATAACAAATTCCCAACAGTTTTTTTCGTTTCCAGTTTCATTTGCCCATTTTGACTTTGTCCTTTATTTTTACGATTTGTTTTTTTATTCCATAACCATATATTTACTCAATCTATTTTTTATTCCACTTTCCTTCAGTTTTTTTTTACTAATAATAATAACAAAAATAAAAAATCAACTAATTTATTTTTTTTTAACAGCTACATTAAATGTTAGTAAGAGAGAAATTCCACTATTTCCATTCTCGGTACAGTAGGGATCGTTAAAATGACTTCACCTTCTATTCCTCGCTGATAGATCGCATCGTATTAGTTAGTGACGCATGCGCATCATGAAAAGAGTCGCCCCGAGTGCCATCTTTAACAATTTCTGTTGGCAGCGGCGCACAGTGTCTAGAAAGAAGGTGTATCGCGTTGTTTTAAAATGTCGTCGTTCCGCATTATATTTCATTAAAAACGCGTTCAAACCCATTAGAAAATGTGATATTCTCATTATTCGAAAAGAATTTTAGACTTTTTTTTTGGGTGTTTCATTGGATACACGCGATTTGTGAAGTTTTGCTTACGTATATACATATATACATATACATATACATATATATATATATATATATCTTCCAACAATATATTTCCCTTCCCCACAACATCATCCTCCCCCCCACACACACACACTGCGCTCGTTCCAAGATCATCAACCTTACTTATGGCTACCATGGCCGATAATAATTGTATTTCAAACGAAATTATGTCATATCCAAATTTCGGAAAATCCCTTCAACGAAAATGGATGAGAGCAAATAATCCTAGTGATGTTGTTATTGAAGAACCGGATAGTAAATTAAATTTTAGAATAACTGAGAAAATCAACGACAGAAGTTTGAAAATCAAAATTCGTGGACACGGTGAGAGAGAATGAGAATTTTTATATTTATTTACATTATTAATCATTTAAACAACATTTAATATACATTTTTTTCTTTTTTTTTCTTTCATTGTCTCTTCTCATCTCCTTTTGTTACCAATCAATATTGATAACAATCACTTTTGAGTTAAATTGATTTTCAGTAAGAAGAAATTGATTAAAAATGATTTAAAAAAAAAAAAAAAATATTTCAAAAATTACATTTAACTTGATTCAAATTATTCAAAATTAAATATTTTTTAATCAATCTCTTCTTATTTGGGAATTGTTTTACAAGATATAATACATGTAGAAGAATTATTTTTTTTTTTCAAAAAATCCCTAACAACATCCAAATATTGAGGATATTTTTTTGAATGTCCTAGGGATATTCGAAGGCTTTTGTAAATTAAGCTCCGAAAGCCTTCGAATATCCCTTGGATATCTGTATAAGATATATCTGAAATATCAATTGCTGTTGAGAGATTAAATTTTATTTAGAATTTATTTAGAATTAAGTCATTATATTTATATATTAAAATATTGAGTTTTATCTTAAATTTTAAAAATTTTTGTAAAAGTTTTTTTCATATATGTTATAATTGTTTATTTGCAATTTAATTTTGTATTTTTGGAAATAAATTTTTCTCCTTCAATTTTTTTAAAACAGTTTGTCATTCACTCATAACATTCAAAGGTAAACACAAATAAATCAAATCACTTTTGGTGATTATGAGATAAGAATTTGCATCTTGTTCTATCTGATATATTCACAGAAAATTAAAATAAGCATTAAAATAAGCTACAACGCTTCTTATTTTAATCTAATTTTGCTTATTTTAATAGCAAAATGGATTAAAATAAGCAAAATTGGATTAAAATAAGAAGCGTTGCAGCTTATTTTAATGCCTTTTAATTTTCTGTGTTTAGAATTTCGAAAAAAAAAGATTGCTGTTAAATTAGACGATTAATTAATACACAAAAAAATTATAAGTTATTAAAATAAGCTGCAACGCTTATTATTTTAATTCAATTTTGCTTATTTTAATATCAAAATAAATTAAAATAAGCAAAATTGGATTATATATATTTCTCTCCCACTTGGAAAGATTCTCCGGAAAGTGCCCCCTGGAGGTTCTATCAGAATTCCGCCGGAACTTCCAACATACTTCCGTTGGAATTCCATCGGAGTTCCAAAGAATTTCCAATTGGATTCCAAAGGAGTTCCGACGAAATTCTGACGGAATTCCGACGGAATTAGAACTCGAAAAATTTTGAAAAAAATTAATCGGAATTACGTTGGAAGTTCCGGCGGAATTCTGATAGTACCTCCAGGCGGCACTTTCCGGGGAATCTTTCCAAGCTTTATATATTTGATGACACTAAAATTGTCTTTTTTTTTTTTTTTGTTTGTCTCAAATGTTGATCAATAGAAAAACAACTTCAAAATGTTGCACTCTCAATGGACAGTCATCAGAAAAATTTCATCCTTAAAGGAGTGATAATTGAAAAAACAGGACAAAAATGTCAGGGTGTTTGTAATGGTAAAGAATGGCAATTAAAATGTTCCGATCATGGGCCAACTCGTATTGGAAATTTTGATAATGATTATCAAATTGAAGTAAATTTTAAATCATCTGATTATGGTACTTATCGACAAAATATATTCTTTTATTTTGGTAAAGAACGTCCAGTGATATTAAGAAAAATTTGTATTGATTGCGTACCAATTGAAGATCTACAGAGGCTAAATGATGCAAGTCAATATGTATTGAATTTAAATCAACGTCTATTAAGTAAGACACATAAAAATTTTGTACCCTTTAGTTCACCATTTGTAACAGCAAAAGATCCACGTGAAGAATATTTAGATAAAGCCTATCCATATCCTGAGACGGAACATTTTTTTTTAACACATTCAACATTAACTGAAAGAACATTAACGCCAAGTAATTATAAAGGACGACTACATGAATTGGTTACTGTTGAAGAATTAGCAAGACATGAACAAGTTGCAAGGTATAATGAAGCTGCACAATTGAGATTGTCCAATAATTATATTCTTCATTCTGATACCGATGGATCTAGCCTTGCCAAATATGCACCGCCCAGCGAACTTTTTGCACAGGTGTGAATCACCCTCATTAAAATTTTTGATTTAGTGTCAGTTGGGATAAATCGAAACAGTAGTTATTTCAGTTAAATAAAAAATTTTTTTTTAAATAAATACGGCATCAAACCTTAATCACCCCCCAATAAGATTTGAGGCCGTATTTATTTAACAAAATTTTTTTTTTAACTGAAATAACTAGTTTCGATTAAGCCCAACTGACCCTAATAAAGTTGAAGTTTAATTCAAAAATTTGATTAAAACTTGAGTATTTCCACATATTGATTATGAATATCAACTTTTTTTTAAAAAAAAAATTAAATGCCGTTGAGATTTTGCTTAAATTCTTGTTCATAATCAATAAATTGAAATATGAAAAATTAAGACTTTTTGTATCAAAATTTTCTTATATATATATATAAATATGGAGGTATTTTTTTCTTTTTGTTTTATCCATAGCTTCCTTTGGGAAGAGAATTAACAGAAGATACAAAATGTGGCCGTTTATTTCTACGTGGTTGCAATAGTATTGTGATTAGGCCAATTGGTGAGAATCCACCGAAATTCACTGAAAATGATATGGTATTTGAAGCGCATGTTGAAGATAAATGTACCCATACAATTTATGCACGTCTATCAAAAGAATGTGTGGAAAAACTTGGATTTAAAGCAGATACCGATCTTAAAGTTCAAGTACAATTTTTATTAAATCGTTTACCATTTTGTGAATGGCATAGAGCAATAGATTGTCTACCAGATACAAAAATTGTATTTCCAAGTTCAACACATAAATACGGTGAGGAGCATTATGTATGGAATAAAAGATGGGATAAAATGGTACAAACATATGTACTAAATGATAAGCAAAAAAAAGCCGTAGCTGTGATAATGGCACCGAAGGATGATATTTTACCACCAATATTATTATTAGGACCATTTGGCACTGGAAAAACATCAACAATTGCTGAAACATTGAGAATTTTATTACTTGATGATCCAACAAGTAAAATAATTCTTTGCACACAAAGTAATAGTGCTGCTGATTTGTATGTAAAGGATTTCTTTCACAGTTGGTATCAAGAATCACAAAATCCACGATTGAAACCAGTGAGGATTTATTACAAAGGTCGAGGAAGAAATACGGTAATTTCTATTAAAATATTGTTTTGATTTTAGATTATTAAAGTTTCTTTCTTTCTTTTTTTTTGGATTGAATCAGGTACATGCAGTGGTACGTGATTACACTTTGACTGATCAAAGTGGTCGATTTCGTGAGCCAACAAAAGAGGACATTGCTGAATGTGGTTTGATCATTACTACTCTTGCAACATCGAGTTGTTTGACACCCCTTGATTTGGAGCCATCGCACATTGTTATCGATGAAGCGGCACAGGCACTTGAATGTGAAGCCTTAACAGCATTGGCTTTAGCGAATGAGAGAACGCGCATTGTACTTGCTGGCGATCAAATGCAATTGGCACCTGAGGTTTACAGTGATTTGGCAAGAGAACGTGGACTTGGTACCAGTCTTCTTGAGAGACTACATTTAACTTATAAACAAAATCATCCATGTAGAATTCAATTGTGCAAAAATTATCGTGCACATGCTGATATTGTTAAATTGACATCACAACTTTTTTACGGTGGTCAAGTTGAAGCGGGAGCTGTTTTACATAAACATCCATTGCAAACACCACTTATGTTCTATGCCGTTGAGGGACAGGAAGTTAAGGTCTGTTGTTCATGTTTCTGTAATTTCCTGTTTTTCGAATCTATTTTTGGTTCAAACTAATTCAATGATTTTGCTTAATTTCAGGGAAATAATTCAACTGGATTTTTTAATAATGAAGAAGTGGCGGAATTAGTGGCGCGCGTTGATGATTTAAAGCGCAATTGGCCAAAACAAAGATGGGGACCCTATGGCGAGGGTTCAATTGGTGTGTTGGCCCACTATATGGAACAGGTGTATAGAATACGTAATGAATTAAGAAAACATAGACTACAAGAGGTGAATGTCGAGCGTGTACTAAATGTTCAAGGAAAACAATTTACTGCCGTTTTTATAAGTACAGTACGTACACGTCATTGCAGTCGTCATACGGCCGAAGTTAATATTACTGATTATGGTTTTTTGACAAATCCACGATTATTAAATACAGCAGTGACACGTGCAAAATGTCTTGTTGCAATTGTTGGCGATCCTGTTGCATTATTAACAGTTGGATGCTGTCGTACATTGTGGCAACAATTTTTCAAATCGGCAACAACACATGGCGTTGATGAGGATAGACTTAATCATCATTTAATTTCAATTTCACAAGTTAAAGAAGAAAAGGCATTAAATCCATTGGCTGAGGAATTTGTACCAAGAAATCCACCGCAACCATTATTTGTCGAATATGTGACAATGCCAGTGAGTTATCCGGTAATACATTGTGCGGTCGATTGGTCCGAACGAAGAACTCTCACATAAAATAAATAACCAAATGTAAATCTTTCATTGTATATGTATTTTCACGTATTGAATTGATTTATTAATGAAACAGTCTTTTAGAATTACATTTTTTCATAAATTATTGTAATATTTTTTTTTTTCAATTTATAAAGAGTGCACGATGTTTTTTTTTTTTTTAGAATTTTTTCTTCTGCTAGAGTTTTTTTTTTTTTAAAAAAAGCTTGAAACAAAGTATTTAGAAATTAGTGCAAGAAGAGTGATTTATATTTCTATTTGTAGTAAAATAAAAAAAGAAAAGTAAATAAAAAAATAAAAAAAAAACAAAAAAAAACAAAAAAAAAATTGAAAACATTTAGAAAATTTTTCAAATGGAAAAATACTGAAAGACGTACGTATGATGATATCATATTGTGTTATATGTGTAAATACATCGAAATACATTGTACATGCCACATTATGAGAGTGAAAACATGTCTCGTTTTTTTTTCCAAATCCCAAACCACTCGATTCAATTCTCCTCGTAAAAGAAAAGTGGATCTTTAGTTGCAGCTGGAGTTCTCAATGAGTTCTTTCGACAATTACAAACTATATAGAACATTGAGAGCGTTATTTAGATAATTAAGAATTAGAGCAAATAGCCGTTTATAAAATAGAAAATAATCTTTATACTTTGGCGACACCTTTCTTTTTATGGTTTTTTTTTTTTTCTCTATTTTATCGACCTTTGCGCTTCTCTCGCTATATAGTCTCGATCGTGTGTCGTTTAATCGTCGAAGCCGTATGCAAATTCAGCCGTAAAGCCGTTTCACGGCTAATCGCCCGATTGTCGTCGCTTTCCATGGTGAAAATGGCCATAGGAAGGGGGAAGGAGGGTTTCACTGAAAAGCATTTAGAAATTTCGATCATGAAACGTGAACTTCCCTAAACTCGATTTTCAGAAGAGCCTATGCTTTCGACGTGAGCGCGGGTGAGTCGTTAACGAGAGTGTAAGAGAGAGGGAATGGTAATTTTCCTATATACGTGCATCGCCATTCTGATGCTTTCTATATGCGGGAGATTCCCATCCGTAAAATGTTTTAATCGGAACATGACTACCGGAAAATTATATATACAAAACAATATTGTTTTCATCTAGCTTTTTTTTTTATACTAACAAATTTATTTTATATTTATTGATAACAATTTTGCGAAATAATTATATAATATTTATAAAATAGAATTTTTTCCTACAAGTTTATTTAACAGAAAAAGTTATAGACACGTCTTTTTTTTCGCACGTCAATTCGTATGCAATCGATTTTTATTTAAATTGAGAACAACCACTTTTGGAGATTTTAAATCGTTTAATGACAATTTAGAATAGGGAGACGTGAGGAATTTTATATTATTGAATAATGTTTTTTGCTTATAGAAAGATTTTTAATGATAATGATTCTTAGAATCTTAGAATACTTGATTACGCCAAGTTATTTTTTGATAAAACCCTTTATTAATTCAACTGGAATAAAAACTGATTTTATAAACGTACAATCAAGGTGAAACTATCACTAAACATAACCTAAAAAGGTCTGACTGTGAAGCAGGGTTGTTGACGTTGTTTACGTAAAATAAGTAATTTACGTAGAAAACTGTAAAAAAAACTGGGGTAATTTACATTTTAAATATGGCGTCTGATAAACACGCGGAGTGCAGCAAAACATAACCCCTTATTCAGGCCTGCCCTTATTGGATTGATTATTGTTTATTCTTGTGTTTCTTCTTGTGGCCTGCCTAGTGCCTGTGATTGTTATAAATTAATTAAAATACAATGAATTTAAAATGGCTCCAAAAAAAAGAAGTTCAATTCCATACAAAGGACTTTAACTTTGAGCGCACAAAATTAGACAATAAAACCGTGATAAATTGTTTAATCTTTTTCAGCTGTATTTTTTAATAGGTGTTGACATACTAAGCAAAGTGCTTCATATTGTCCATTTGTTTTAATCATTTTAAAATTCAAATTGTCCCAAGATGAGTGTTTGGACCTGCCGCCGCCTCTGTTCATTTTAAATGGTTTTTATTTTACAATTTTTCACCAAAGTTTTACAACAGGTTCACAAATCACGTGTTGGCAGGGTTTTGAGGTTATATTATTACGCATGATTCGGCTTACCGTTTCAATCGCGGTGACGATTCATAAGAGGATGTAAATTATGTACGTAGAAAACTGTAGACGTAATTTACTATTTTACGTGTAAAGAACATACGTAGATTACCTTAGGTAATTTACGTACCCAACCCTGCTGTGAAGCGTCGGATATAAGATCCTTTGATTGATGCTGATTGGTTATCCACAATCAGACAGGTTGTGAACAACCAATCCAATTTGTGCATTTTTTAAGTAATTTTTTCTTGCGACAGAAGTACAAATACAATCGTTACTAGACGTGTTAAGTAAAAATTCCTTTTTTTTTTTTAAATAACGACAAAAAAATATAAATTCGTGCAAAATTGACGCATATGAGGCGCGATAAAATAGTTCAAACATTTCGCTGACATTGTACGTTTGTAAAATCGGATTAAATTGGAAAAATGTGTTGAATCAAGACCAAAAATCGAGGTCGTTAAACGGAGTTAGAAATCGTATAAATCTTGTCTCTGTGTATGTGTGTGTGTGTCTGTTTTTTTTTTGCACCGAGAAGAGCAAATGTTAGATTGGCAGGACGAACGATAGGTCGGCAATTACCATTGATTCCCGGGAGAAGTGAGACAGAAGCAGGCAGGTACCTATCGCTCCGGAAACCGGAACGACATCTCCTGCTGCCATGTCAGGCTTTCCGTTTTACAGAATTAACGAAGCACGTTGAAATTATTGGACGATCGTTAACGCTTTGTAGAGCCGAAAATATCGCTTGAATACACGCGCACCTGAGTAGTAACTGAAATAAATTTTTTTTCATCCTATTCAGTTTTTTTTTTTTATTATTTACGAAACAAACTCTCTTTTTTTTTCTCTCTCTCTCTTCTTTACTCTTGGGATGCAAAAATTCTGCGTAACCATTCGAGTGTGCATGGTCGCATTTCGATACTACGAATGACTAGTTTATGCGGGTTTGTTAGTCTAAAGTGCAATTCAAATTTTCACAATTTCCCTTTGTTGTTTGCCAATACATCCATATAAATAACAATAGCAGAATTCGCCCCTTTATTCCTTGCTAGAAATAGAAATTTTGTTCATCTGTGAACATTACGTTATTTTTAACCATGGTTATAATAACCATTTTTTTTTTTTTTGTTTTATTTATAGAAAATATAGCAAAAAGCCATCACTGTCGGGAATTATATATATTGAACTAGTTTTCAAAACTTGTGTTTATGGGTGTAGTGTAAAAAATAGAAAAAACCGCAGACAGTCTCTGATAAAAAATACAGTTCCACTCAGAAAAAAAATTACTTATTCAACGGCATTTGCATTCATCACTATATATATATATATATATATATATATATACCTTACAGATATTTGTTTAGCAAAATATTTTACTACTTAAATTAGTAGTTTTGTTTAAAACTATAAATTACAGGGAAAATTTTTTTTTTTACGTAATAAAAATATTTTAAAAAATTAGCACTAAATATTTATTCTCGAAATAATAGTGCATTTTTTTGGTAAATTAAATATTTAAAATAAATTTCATCTCGTCGCAAAAGATAATGGCATAGTGTATTGTCGACTTTAATAGAAATTCCACGCTCGTCATTTAGGTAACCGCAGTGAAGAGGAGGCGCGGTAAGGAATTAAAACTTCTAATTGAAACCAACTTGAAATGCAACATTCGAACACGACGAGTCGTGAATAGTCTCTTCGTTAATAAGAATTTAAATTACTTTTTTTTTTTTTAATCTTCATTTTTTCCTCCCAATATAAGTTTAAATTATAAAAAATAATAAATACTTTTTTTCGATAGAAAAATTCTAAAGTTGTTCCAATTTGAAAGCATTAAAAAAAAAAAAAAAAATCTTGACGATTTATAGTGTTTCAAGAAAAGGGGTTTTTTCTTATAATAGGGTAGGTATATAATTTTTTTTTATACTTGAAAAAGTGATTTTAATCTTTAATGGTGAAATGATTATGTACAGTTGCTTTAGTGTAAAACTGTGTGACACTTCAGGCATGGGGTTTATTACTCCTGTCGGTAATTGTGTATACTACCAATGTGTCTTGCGTTATATAATGTAACTGCCAGTAACAGCTTTGATATATAATTTACTGTATATATATATATATTCTCCTTCAATATGCTCTGCAATTAATTTTGTAAGGATAATTTTTTTAAAGAAACCAATTTTTAAATAAATACTTTAATTTTGAATCTTTTCTAAATTTTTTTTATTATTAACTTTCTTCAGTGAGTTCAATGGAGATTTTAGTTGAGTTTCTAAAGAGTCTATTGATTAATTTAAGCATATCCCAGATAGCAGGTAAGCTTGCAGCATCATTGCCGCGCAATATTGCCAACCTTGCATGGCAAGTTTACCGCAAGATTGCAGCAAGCTTCAAATGTCCCACCTAACCCAAGCTTGCATGGTGAGCTTGTCAAAAGATTGCAGTGTAAGGTTACTGCAAGATTGCAAAGTAAGATTATCGCAAGATTGCATGGTAAGCTTCTCAAAAGATTACAAGTGTAAGGTTGTTGCAAGATTGCACAGTAAGATTATTGCAAGATTGCTCAGTAAGCTTGCACGGTAAGCTTGTAGCAAGGTTGGTGCAAGGTTGCCAAATAACCTTACCTAATCAGCAGAGAAGTTTGCATTGAAAATGAGGACTATGCGCACTTGCAATCATAAGCACTTACGGCTGCGCAGTAAATTTTTTTGACCTCCCAGGAATTGGTGCTCAATGTATGTACAAAAATTAATTTCCTCCCCCCCCCAAAAAAAAATTTTTTGTTATATTCCGCAAACTTGCGCAAAGCTTGCCATAAGGTTGCCGAGAAAAATTGCATGGCAATCTTACTGTGCAATCTTGCAGTAACCTTACACTCTTTACGTGCTATGTGGGATAATTTTTACCATTTTGTTTTGTAATTTTTCAAGATGTATTCCTGACGCAGAAGGAAATAATTTTTTTTTTTCTTCGCAATTTCTGAAAGTAATTTTCGACGAAAACAATTTTGATGATTATAAATGAGAGCCAAAATTCTATTTTTAGGATCAGAACATAATCTCTTCTCAGGAATATATGTATATATATGTATAGGAAACTTCTCTCCAATATAATCTCATCTGCGTGATTATTATCAGAATTCGAAAGTGAGCTCGCAATTATCATTGTCGAGTATTGGTGCGAGATGAAATTGCCACCCTGTGGCGTGGGTCCGATGCGAGAGAAAGAGAGAGAGAAAGAGAGACAGAGAGAGAGAGAGTCTGGAGTTAGTTCATCGAGTTTATACCAAGATGGTATTACGTCTTGTATGTTGGTTGGGAGCGATTGGAGAAGTTCGACTGGCTCCAGTCACGCGCGCTCAAAACTTTATACCGAATTCAAAACGAGGGATTCGATATTAAAGGAAGATTCAAGGATGTTGGACGAAAACACCCAACCCATATATATATATATATATATATATAGATGCGAGCGCGCCTAGTAGTCGTATTACATCCACTCGGTGTGTTCAATATTTCACTCGAATCTACGATGATAAAAATTTACTGCCAAACAAGTAATATCGTAGAAATTGTATCTTGAATCAGAATTTCATGTTAAATTTTAATCAAAAGTTGTAATATATAAAAAAAAAAAAACTGTGACGAGGAAGAAAAATAAACAACAAATTCTTACTAAAATTTTTGGAAATAATGGCGAAAATAATTAGGGGCCTTATCAATTGTGAGACACTCCTGGAGATCACGTGACGTTAACCTCACTTTTCATTTGCTTCTGAATAGACTCAGTAAGAGTGGTTTTAGACTACTGTTTGTTATTTTTTTTTTCAATTATATTAAGAATCTTCGACAATTTTGATTTTATTCACATTTTGAATACGTGCTCTCATCAAATAAAATAATGAATCATTACACAGAAAGTTATATGATATTAAAATAAGCTGCAATGCTTATTATTTTAATCCAATTTTGCTTATTTTAATTAATTTTGGTATTAAAATAAGCAAAATTGGATTAAAATAATAAGCTTATTTTAATGCCTTTTAATTTTCTGTGTATTTTTTTAAATTTCACTTTTTAAAATGAAGAAAAAATTTTTTTTTTTGAATTTCATTTTATATTTCTTCTATAAAACGATAGGGAAATCGATGTAGGATTGGAAGTTGAATAAAAACGAATATGATGCCAAGTATCACCATATATATATAGATGATTCCTATATTCAAAAGAACAGCTATACGTGACTAGATTGTAATGAAGAAATACGAAATAACCACATGAGTAAATGGCTGTACACAAAAATCTGTAAACACCAATGTGTCGATAAATTTGTGAATTATTGGCATATACAAAAATTGTACGTGATTTTATATATAACTCGAATATTTTTTCAAAAAATTTCTAACTTCCTTATCTAATGGATAAAATTTTCTAAAATATGTTTTAAATAAATTATAATATTAAAATCAATTTTTTTCTAGATAAATGAAAAATTAATGCAATATAAGTACAGATGAGAGAATATTAAGAATATTTGAATATATAAATATATAAGAGAGAGAGAGAGAGAGAGAATGAAGATTATCTGTCGATATACGCGATGGTATTTGATTTTTAAATAATAATAAATTTTTGTCTGCTTTAGTCGATATATATATATATATATATATATATACTTAATTATAATATTTAAACATTAAAATTACGATAACATTGCTCTTTAAGTTTTAAACATAATTTATTAGTTTTTAAAAATTATAAATGAAATTCATAATTTTTTTTTATTTATAATCTAATTTAATTAATTAAATTAAATAAATGATTTAATTCAAACTTTAAATAACATTTTGCTTCATCAAAATGGAGAATATAATTAAAGATTAAAATTTCATTTAATTAATTCAATAATAATAGAGATGCGGAGAGAATTTTGTAGAATAATATGATCAGTGTATCATTTACCATATTATCGAATAATTAGTTTAAAAGTTAAAAATTGCACGTAGAGTTAAATTTACGATTTGAGAGATAATCTTCATTTTGTTTCGCAGGTATTTATTTTATATATATATATATATATATATATATATATATATATATATATATATATATATATATATATATATACAGTGAAATTGGCTTTGATATGAAATGTTTGTCAGATTTATCAGATTTAGGGTTTATTTACAGATGTACAACTTTTTGCATTTTATACTATTATTTTCATTGAATAAATATTGCCAGGGTTGTATTTTTTTTTTTTTTTTTTTTTGAGATAAATGTTCGTTTGCCCTAGGGAAATTTTTCATATTCTATTGTTTTTTTTCCCCGGCAGTTTGTTATATATATATATATATTTTTTTTTTCATTATTGGGGAAATTTTTGACAAATTAGAAATTGGTTGATTTAAAAAAAAAAATCAAAATTTCGAGAAGGTGAAGTACAATATTCACAATCTTAACGGTTTTCTTAGAATGGGAATGAGAGAAGCAAAGCAGCGCAAAAGAGTCTGGGCATTTTGCCAAATCGCACCTCTGGGAAAGAGAAAAACACCAGGAAGCGTTGGAAGATGGTGGCAAAAGCAAAAGACTAAAAACCAAAAGGGATGAGTATATATATATATATATATATACCTATACATACTTGAGCTTTCTTCCAAGATCGTTTATAAGCTTTCCTTAACGAGTAAATAAAATAAATACACATCAAAATGTATTTCTTTAGCTTGAGGCAAAAGATGCTAAGGAGATTTTCACGTCACAAAAACGTAAAAACATCTGACCTTTTGCGACCTCGGTGGGAAAAAAAGTTACAACAAAAAAATGAAAATATTTTCCCATAAAAATAATTATAAACACTTTTTTTAAAAGCCTCCTTAAAAAGGAAAATAATCTTAATTTTAAAAGAATACTTCAATGAGGAAAAAAAAACCTTCCACTCAATTTACAAAACTTCTATTTGTAATTTTTGTGCGTTTAACTTAAAACTTCTTTCGCCGTTAAACTTGAGTGGTACCTTCTCTCCTGAATCAGAGTCAATGGGGAAGCACATAAAAATAAAAGTTTTTCAACTCCTCAATGACCCTCTAGAATCGAAGGTAAGAAATGCTTTTAAAGCTTCTTTCTCTCTTTTTATCGTTGAAAGTTACGTGGTGAATTCAATGTGTATATGTGTGTGCGAAGAAGATCAGTAGAGTATTATCTGAGTGATGAAACAAAAGGTTTAGGGTCATATTATATATATACGAATGTTACTTACCTACGAAGAGTTGCCAATCGTTGCTCCTGTGCTTGTATATAGCCATGAAGTGTGTCAATCAGAACAGCTTCCGTCTCCAATAATTCCTCCATATCAGCCAAAGCCGTATAAAGCTCACAATTTCCCATATTGAAAATGGTCATCATACAAGCTCCAATGAGCAGCAATGATATTCGTGACATTTTTGCAAAAAAAAAAAAAAAAAAAATTCCAATTTCACGATCTGCAAGAAGAAAATAACATTTTTTTTTAAATAAAATTTGTCTTTCTATAATTTTATTATTTAACTTCACTTTCATTATCGCATTCATTTCGTTTGGGGCGAAAGTGAAAGTGAATATGTAAGTGAAATGAAGTTACAGATTTGTTCTACTTTTTCTATTTATAATTCCTTTTTTGAATTCAAAAAACGAATTCCCTGTAAAATTGATGGTATCATTTTGGAATGCAACGTTTTGATTCGATATAAGGTATCAAATTAATCCAAATATTTGAATCATTTTCAAGAAATGATCCAGAATATGGGATCATTTTTTGATACCTGAAACTGAATTGGTATCAAAGTATAACTGTCATGGCTGGCATGCTCTTATTGACAAGTTTATTAATTAATTTATTCACTGCACTGAATATTCAGATATTAAAAATACTTTTATTATGAATTTTAAGAAGGAGAGAAGCGAAAACTTATAAATTGCGAGCAATTAAATAAGAAAAAATTTATTTCGAAATAAAATGAAATACACTAACCTTTATTTATATTTATCACATAAAATTTAAGTTAAGTTCACAATCACAACACTTGAAAATTTTTAATTATTTTTATGCTTCAAATAATTATCAATAATTTATTTATTATAAATGAACAAAATTTAAGCAATGCACGCTTGATAAATATTTCTAATGCGTTGTCAATTAATAATTTCCTATTACACAATATCATAATCGACATATATGACATTTGTAAACAAACAGGGTTGGGAAACAAGAGCCTAAAATATATTCGTCCAAAGCGAATTTCAATCCTACCCAACTCTGCTTTGGACGAATATATTTTGGGCTCTTGTTTCCCAACCCTGTTTGTTTCCAAATGTCATATATGTCGATTATGATATTGTGTAATAGGAAATTATTAATTGCATTAATTGACAACGCATTAGAAATATTTATCAAGCGTGCATCGCTTAAATTTTGTTCATTTATAATAAATAAATTATTGATAATTATTTGAACCATAAAAATAATTAAAAATTTTCAAGTATTGTGATTGTGAACTTAACTTAAATCTTATGTGATAAATATAAATAAAGATTAGTGTATTTCATTTTATTTCGAAATAAATTTTTTCTTATTTAATTGCTCGCAATTTACAAGTTTTTGCTTCTCTCCTTCTTAAAATTCATAATAAAAGTATTTTTAATATCTGAATATTCAGTGCAGTGAATAAATTAATTAATAAACTTGTCAATAAGAGCATGCCAGCCATGACAGTTATACTTTAATACCAATTCAGGTATTAAAAAATGATCCCATATTCTGGATAATTTCTTGAAAATGATTCAAATATTTGGATCAATTTGATACCTTATATCGAATCAAAACGTTGCATTTGTTGATCTTCATTCTTGTATCAATTTGATACACACAAGAAAACTGTATAAATTATTATCGATTTAAAAAATAATAAATTACAAATTATCTTTATATATTGCACAATGTAATTATATAAAATTATAAAAACGAGATTAAAAAAAATAGCAATTACTTTGTGTGCAACTCGATAATTAACCGCCACGAAATCTTGATAAAAAGATTTATCTTCTTCAGTCAATAATCCACTTAACGTGGTTGGTAGATAATTAGAAAGACTTAAGTCAATTCCAATGAGAAAAATCCTTTTTAAATAAAATTTTAAAGTTTGTTATCAAATTTTTTACTTTTACAAAGTGTAATTAATTTTTCATTTAATTATTATTCAAAAAATGTTTTAATTGATATATATATATATATATATATATATAAAATTTGTTGTACCCTTTTGTTTTTTTTCAAAATACTTAATTAGATAAAACCACAATGAAATTTAGACATTATAGATTAAATTCAAACTCTAGTCAAACTCAATTTGAGTTGAATAGTTTAAAGTTTAATCGAATGATCAATGTTAAACTAAATGAGAAGGAATCTAATCTTGATTTCAATTATTAAGGAGTCGTGCGAGATAGAAATCAATGCTTTTGACTTTCGAGTACCTCAAGCGTTATATTTCGTTTCAATTCCAATATATAGGTATTTGATTCGTATTCTTTTTTTATTTTTGAAAATGAAAAAATAATTAAAAGTTAATTTTTCTCTTATTTTCCAGGAAAAATTATTTTTCTAAATTCTAAATTTTTTTTATGAAAATGAAAAAAATTTTTAATTTTATGATTCATTTATTACCAATATATAATTATTGCACTTTTCATTAACAGAATTTGGCAAACAGTAATTAATTTAAAGAGCATTTCACTTGTGTCTATAATATATTCACGCCCTTGCCAAAGTGCGGTTGAATTGAGTCTAACTAATCACTGTTAACAAGTACATACCTAAACATTAATGTCGATATATCTATTGGTGGTTAAGGTTGAATTCATGTGTTCACGTATATGTGTATACAGTGAGAGCAAATCAGTTACATTTAATATATTATAGTATTCCAATTACATTAGTTATGTAATTATTGATAAATAGTAATTATAGTGAAAAAAAAATTATTTGTTTTAGCATTTTAAAATTCATAACTAATAAATAACTTTTGTTTCTTTCAACAAAACAAATAAAAATTCATTTGCCCTCATGACTGAATATGACATAAAATATTTTAATATCCACATTGAATTTTATCAATCATTTAATTAAACAAATAAAAACCCTTTTTTTTTTTTGTTCTGTCAAATGTCAAGTATAAAAGTTTTATTACACAAATATCGTTAAATTTGTGGCAAAGACAAAACATTTTTTTTTCAGTTTGTATTTTTATTAGTACTCAAAAAAAAAAAAAAAAAAAAAATTCATTTAACACATAAAAAAAAAAACGCGTGTATTTTAATCAAACGGCCAGAACGAATTCATTTATATCTCCAAAACGTACATTTGGAAAATTCCTCTATATGTATAAAAAACTGAATTGTGCGAAAAACATTTTTCAACTAAAAGCGGGGGAAAAAAAAATAACAAAATAAATGGCCTTAGGCAAATATATATACGAACAAAAAATACGTTTATCATCTTGGTGCAATATCCTTCAAATAAAATGTATTTATACTTTTTAATATTTTTTCTATTAAATTATTATTATTGTATTCGTTTTATAAAAGAAGTATTTAAATAGTTAATAATCCTCATATAATCGTTAAAAAAAACTTAAGAGAATAAAATTTCCCTGTTTTAAAAACTACATTCTGCTTTAAAATTTAATACAAGTTTATTTCGATAGGAACTCTGCGGGGGAAAAGAAATAAAAAAAAAATAAATAAATAAAATAAAAGTTTATAAAACTTGTGTAAAATTTACATTGCAGGAATTATATGAACTATATTGAAAGATTATCGACAATATATATTTAACGTATAACGATGACAAAGAGACTCGCAGAAAATATTTGCAATGAAATAAATCTATATATACATACATATGTAAAAGCTAATATTGCACAAGCTATTTGAATTATTTTATTATACAATTTATCACGTTTGGAGTTTATACAAAACAAGAAATTAAAAAATATCGCGTTTCAAAAAATAGTAGGAAAAAAAAAATTACTTAAATTAATTTTTTTTTTTATATTTTGTGTAATTTCTTTTACTTTGGTTAAAAAATTATCCTCAATGACTTAAGTTTTCACTGTTTTTTTTTTCATGTGGCAGTTATTTTTCTAAATATTATCTAAAAACCTGACGTCGAGTTATATATATAAGAGTGAATGTTTAAAGAGTACACATTTTTTATATGGTGGCATCTCTCGTTAGACTACATTGTTGACTCAGTGAGAATATAAGTTGTCCTCATTCATATTCACACTTTTCATATTCAGAAGAAATTACAGCGCTTAAGTGTCTTATGCACTAAACATTTTTCTTTTCAAAACTTTACAAATATATTTCACATTTTTCCAACTAAATGAAAAATATTAATAAATTAAATAAATATAAATGATAAATTATATAAAAAATTATTAAAATCTGTGTAAATATTGCTTTATGTAATAGCCGAGGAGCATAACGACGGGAGTGATTAATTAAACCCTCCCATATGCATTATTGTGACTGTCTAAATAAAGGGTCTGATTGGAAATTTGTTATTCAAATTATATATTAGTGAAAAATCAATATTTTTCACTTGTCCACTTTTCGCAAATTTCAAAGTTTATTATAAAAATTTAATAAAACTCATCATGAAAAAAAAAATTCTTAAACGAAATAATTATTCTAATAATTAAAAAAAAAAACCAATGAACAATTTTAATTTGAAAAAAATTGTCTTAAAATAATTTTAATATAAAAATTATTTTCATACTTCCGTATGAAAAATTCTATATTTCATAATGTTCACTTTTAAAATTCTTTATTAAATAATAAAAAAATTTAATATTAAAATTTAATATTAAAAAATTCTAGTTTTCTATCATAACTTGAGAAATAGTTATAGTTTATAATTAAATTAAATTTTTACAATGAAAACTTAACATTTTTTTTATATTTACACTGAAAAAAAAATTTATTTGATTCAAATACCGGTGTATTTGGTTATTATCAAATAAATATTTACTTGAATCAAATATTTCTTATTTGAATCAAATATATAGTATTTGAATCAAATATTTCAGTATTTGAAGCAAATACCATTTATTTGATTCAAATAAGAAATATTTGATTCAAGTAAATATTTATTTGATAATAACCAAATACACCGGTATTTGAATCAAATAAATTTTTTTTTCAGTGTATAAATACAATTTTTAGTTTTGTTCTTCTGTTAAAGATCTGTTAAGGGTCTTTGGAAATTTATTTTTTCTTTCTTTTTTTTTTTTTTTGACAGTTTACGACACTCGGGATGATCTTAATGCGGTCGTTGAAAAGTTTTTACGTCGAAGATTAAAGTTGGTCGGAAAACTCGAGAAACCACACCTGGTGGATAAATGTAATATATATATAACAACTCCGTGTTATAGCGAAAATG